AATGATAGTCAATGTTCGTGCGGTGTTTTTGTTTATTGTGCTTACTCATGTACGCGAATTCGTCAACGAAGTGGAACGCTACGAATTACGAAACGAGCTTTTCTCGAATATCTGCGCCACTTTAAGTTTAAGTGGCGTTTTTTGAATTTTGAATTGTTTTGTATTTACGTGTTTATCTGTCTTTTTAAGAATTCTATCCAAGGCTGACGAAGGAAGCTGTAACGCTTCCGAAAGCTACCAATAAAAACTTAAAGCTGGTGTTTGAACAATATTTTGCCAAACAGATATAGGAGTGTATTCATAATGGTCTCTCGATGCCTTTAGCAGCAGACTGTCATGTAACGCAGGACCGCTGCGTAGCTTTGGAGACCGGTTATCGCCGACGTTAAAAGCTGATCGAGTTGCCGATAGTAGCATTGATGACTGTCGGTCAACAACAAATGTCGGGAGGCATGCGACAGATCGCTCGATATCTATATCACATGCGCGAGGTGAATGCTAAATGATTTTGATCTTTTATTAGAGCATTGTCAATGTCATGGACCTTAAATGTACTCCGTATATGATTCTAATCTCTAGGTTACGTGCATACATATTTTAGGGTAACTTTGCACAGCAATAAAGGAAACCATTATTTTAATGATATTCAAACGAGCCATTCACATCTGGAACGTTGATTACTGATTAAGTTCTACATTTTTGTAGCCAGATTTAAAATGACTAGCAGAAACGGTTTGATATTGCGGTAACGGTGCTTGTAGAGATGGTGCACTCAATAGTCAGTATACAGCTTTATAAAATATGCCTGCGGAAAGTGCGCTAAACGTGCTCCCCCCCCCCAAAAAAGGACAACAACCTTAATGCCTTGGGAATTCAATAGATGGGCTCCGTACCAATGCCGGCAAAGCAGGTCATATCTATGTATTATACATACAATGCCGACTATTCACAACGTAACAAGAAGTCACCTGTTAACCCTCGCCCTGGCAGGGGGGGTCGATGCGACCCCCCCCCCTAAGGTTTTTCGAAGATAGCGTAAAACGGCGGCGCGCAGCGCCGCCAAATTTGGCACAGCCTATGGGCAACCTTTTTACATATGACCTGAAAATTTCAGGTCCGGGTGACCTTGGGTCAGGTCACCAGGTCAGAAAAACCGGTACAAGGTCATGGTCAAATTTCAATTTTCTTTTTGCACCTGTCCAGCTCACAGTTTTGGACTGATTTCCTTCAAACTTTCAGGATGTGCTAAGTTCACCGAGTTGTATAACATATAGTTCGGGTTTTTTGAGGTCACTGACCTGAGGTCAGTTAGAGGTCATTACGTCGTAATGTTAAGCCTATGGGAAAATGCTAAATTCGGAAAATACTGGAGATATCCGCTTCGTTCTATCACTTTTGTGCTTAGAAACCACAGTACTTATCAGCAGGTCACTTGGTGCTTCTTTGTTTGGTGTACTTATCCATGGGTCAGGTCAATGAGGTCAATTGAGGTCAAATGACGTTTTTGCCAATAACTTGGCACATAATGACGCTAGAGCTTAAAAAAAATGGTATCATTGTGTTCCTGGTGATCAGCCGAATCGAATGATATGCGATATGATGCAATTTGATTAACTTGAACTTAATTTATTAATTTAAGTTTACTTAAAATTTAAGAAAACTTTAAGTACACTTAAGCAAGCTAAAAAGTATATCATTCGATGCGCCTTGACGTGCTAAGTTCACTGGTGCTTTTCTTTTTGCTCTATCGTTATTAGATCAAAAGTTATAAGCGAAAAACTTTTGACCTGTTTTTAGCGAAATTTTTACATTTATACCCCCCAAAACCCCCCTAAATATTGACCTAGAGCAACCAAATTTGCACAGGGACGAGAACTCCAGGGGCCCACCTACCTACAAAATTTGGTGTTTCTAGGTGCCATAGGAGCCAATCGCGAGGGGGGGGTCGCATCGACCCCCCCCCCCCCTGCCAGGCCGTGTTATGAAAAATGCCCTGCCAGGGCGAGGGTTAAAGGTGTGCGTATTTACAGAAGATCCCGATCCATGCTGTTTAATTCTTATCACTCTGCTTATAGCATTAATAAATACAAAATGGTGATTTGTTTGCTGCAGCCGAAACGCGGGTGACATTGATCGGAGACAGGCACATCCATTTGTATTGGCTATTTTGTTTGATTTCGTGATGCTCTGGAGAGCCGAGCTAGAGATAAATGCACCGGGACGCGTCCAGCGGCTCATTTTGATGTAGGTCTGGCTACATTGTCTGATGATATCGTTTGATGTTGTTACGGCAGGGACATGTTCTGGTGACATGGTCCACTGCTGGTCCTGGCCACCCCAGAGCAGCGTGACCCCAGCCGGGGAGCAAGGCTCGGGCAGTGAGCCGAGTAGGGGAGTTGGGGTAATTTGGCCGCTTTTTTAGAAAACGATGTAACTTAAAATTGACGACACATTTCTGCATTTTCTCAGCGCTGGCAGGTGTCGCATTCATTTTACTTTACTGGACAGTGAACTTGAAATGCTAGAGTAATTACTTATATTGTATGTGTGACGTATTACAAATGTCTACAAGGCGGCCAAATTGCCCCACTAGCAGGGTTCTTTGGCCGGGGTGTGGGGCAATTTGGCCGGTGTTAGTTTGAGGCCGGGATTTTTTTTTTTTTGTTATAGGCGAGTCAGCTTCGCATTCAGCAATGACATGTGTCCTACGACGCATTTGACGCATTTCGGAGGTTGACTCAGCGGTCACAGGGGTCGAAAATAGCCAAAATAGCGGCTCTAGATGCGAGCACAGTTTTTTACGAATAACTTTTGAAGTAATCAAGCTAGGTCAAAACTAAAAGTAGCATCGTAATTCTCTCGTCAGTCCGCATCGAAACATGTATGTGTTAACCTCGGGAGGTCAAGGTCAAAGGTTGACTTCAGGTCACGCTACCTCAAGTCGCTTGACCTAAAGGTCACGGGCCGCCCCAGCAAAGCGACCCTGAGCGCACCGGCCAAGTTGCCCCGCTAGTCCCGGCCAAATAACCCCACATTGCTATTCTGAAATTTGTTGTCTATAAAGTCGTCATGACTGTACGGAACTAAATGAAATTGCTCTTGGAACCGCTGAACAACCCCCCAGGATGACGCTATAATGTCGGAATTCGTTTACAGCCCAAATACTGCATGTTATACAACTTTTTAAGCGGAAGTAAAAGTTTCATGTTTTATTTATTTTGAAGAAAAGTATGAGGGGGGAAGATTTGACATTTGTCCTCGAGTTAGTTCTACCCATGACAAATGAATAGAGACTAGAGTTATTTCATTTTATTTTATCAGATATTGTACAGGTGGGGGGCCAATTTACACCACCGGCCAAATTACCCCAACCTCCCCTATCGGACGACGCCGGCCACAGCGCAGCGCGCCGCCACCCGTTCATTCATTATGGAGCAGGGCTCTTGCCGAGACCGGCCTCCCGTGTTCCTTTTTTAGCGCGCGGAAAACGTGTGACCCGGGTGATCGGTCGCGCTGGTCAGACGCAGAGCACTCGGTCTCGATGTCTGTCAGACTCCGTTTCAGCATCCGATGCCGCGGGGAGAGGCAGTCGACCGTGTGACAGGCGCGGATACAAAGGGGGGGCCATGGGGGCCATGGCCCCCCCCTTGGCCGATTTTTTCAAAAATAAAATAAAAAGTTAAAAAGTTAAAAAGCTGAAAAGGGGGCCTCCTGAAAATAAAGTGGCCGAAATCCGATGAGTTTTTTTTTACCTACCCACTTAGTTATTTCTTAGAAGACTAGCTGAGAAGACTTCTTTGTTAGAAGATTGGTAAAGCTTTTCATAACTTGGAGGTCTCTTATACTCACAGAGATGACTACTTTTACAGGGCCTCCTAACCTGCACAGAGGGCCTCCAAGCCTGCACAGATGTTGAGATGTTGCCTGAACAGCTAGATAAGCTCAATAGACGCAGTTTTTTTTAGGGGGGGGGGGGGCCCAACAAGTGGGAAGATGGGGCCTCCAACAGGTGGGATTATGGGGGGCCTCCTGGTTTCTAATGGCCCCTCCCTTGGAGATTTTCTGGATCCGCCCCTGCCGTGTGATGTCGGATTCTGATTAGCCCATCGGTCTCCTTAGTCTTCTCGTCTCCGTAGGCGGCGCGAGCATTCCGCGGGTGCGGTCGCGCAGAGGCCATGGGTCGGAATTCGTAGGATGGCTATCACCGCCGATGGCTGGCGATTATCTAAATATAGAAACCACGGCGAAAGGCCACCGCCCGGGCCGGCCGGCTACGGTGATGGCCTGAGTGAGGTATCTCATCGCTGTCTCCGTTTATAAAATCCAGACGTCCGATTAGTGCCAAAACATGGAAAGAAAAAACTGTTTGCCTCTGTTTTTCGGAAAAAAGCAAAAAATTCCCATTTCGTTGGCGACTGCAATTGTTGGCAAAGCAATCAGTCAAAAATTGTTCAAGCAAAGCAGACCTTGCATTGCCCACGAAATGAGTTCAAAACTTTTAAAATATCTTTACTTAATTATTCAAAATAGTTAACCAGGAGCCTGCCACTAATAGGGTTAACGGGATGCAGGCAACGTTCATATCGCGTTTAGGAAAAGGAACCTACCAAATGCCTTACCCAATGAAAGGCACACTAATTGGATTTCTGCAGCGAAGCAACGGCATTGAAAAACTGAGTAACCACACAATTCTAAACACGCAACGAGCAAACGGTTATATGATGTTTCGATTCGGCGCCACATGATATCTCGGTGCGCATATAGAAGCGGGCATTCCTCAGACGTCCTCTCCTGTGTTTTCGTCCTGCTTCAGTGAGCTGTCTTTCATCCGCGTGCACTATCTTTCCTCTCCCGTTCGAATTTCCGCCTGACACGATCGGTCGGCTTCTGCCCGGTGCGGCTCGCAGCACGCGCTGACCTCCGTGTCCCTCTTCTGCAGGCTACATGACGTCTTGTTCGAGTAGCAGTGTGAACGTGGCTCTGGCCATCACTGCTCCGGCCATCATCCCGTTCATGCTGTTCGGCGGCTTCTTCCTCAATAGCGGGTGAGTGGCCGCCGGATTCGGACCTCCCACAGACCGGCGAGAGTGACACTGTGGGCGGGACTACGGACGAGAGTGAGACGGTCGGGTGATCTGCATGGAAGAACCTAGGATATTCATGTTTTGACATATAACGCTTGAACAATTTAACGACGCAGGCTTATCGCATGTTAAAACAATCAAGCGTTGTTGTGTTGCTCGACAGCGACGTAACAAATAAAAACCCTTCTTAACAATAACAGCGAGCCCTGCATGGCAGAAAGTACTGAGCGACAACATAGGAATTTTAAGGTTCGCTGGTCATTTGACGATTGTACTTAACTGGATGACATAAACGTGCATCTGAGTGTGGCAGCTGTCATGTGTGAAGAACAGGTTGGCTCGTTTTTTTTAAGCAGCTTCTTGATGCCCAGCACCCATGCAATAATTACGCTAAAGCTGGGCTCCATTACTTGTAGAATCGTTCTGCTGGAGCTTTTAGACACCCTCAGCCGGGAGTAATTTTGGCGGAATGCAGCCGTAAGCTCCCAGCTCTGTGAGGGCCGCTGGCGGCTGGGCCGGGCGCTGAGTGTGTGCCCGTCCGCTGCAGGTCCGTACCCGTCTGGCTGGAGTGGCTCCAGTACCTGTCCTGGTTCAACTACGCCAATGAGGCGCTGTGCATCAACCAGTGGCAAAACATCGATCACATCGACTGTGGGGGCTCTCCGGCGTGCCCCAGCAACGGCACTGTCGTACTGGAGACTCTCAGCTACAGCGTGGTAAGTGGCCCGTCCGCGCCGCGTGGTGTAAAGTCAGACTGCTGTGCCCTTTTTTCTACCGGTTAAAGTTATCATGTTGGCAGCCGATGGTAACTATCCATCATATTTTATCCATGCTATGTTATCCATGCTATTTTCATCGACGAGAGGGTGAACGGTTTCACGCAGTTTTCCATTGTCCGTTCGTTGGAGGGCATAGGTACAGCTATTCTGCTCGGAGTCTGCTAACCGTTTTTGTCCTGGCGGCGCGAGATTTGTCACTATCCTGACAATCTCGGTTCACATTCCAGGATAACTTCAATGTGGACATCGGCGCCCTGGCCGCACTTCTAGTCGGCTACCGGCTGCTCGCCTACCTGATCCTGCTCTTCAAGTCCTATAGACACGAGTAGCGCTAGCTGCCACAGTGCCGCGCTTTAGCTTCTTCACAGCGCGTAGCTGTCAGTGTCATTGTCACGTGCCATTGCCAAGAGCCATCGCCGTGTGATGTCTGGTGGTATGACATCCTCACGTCAGTGGCAAGTCACCGAATAATGTCGAGAGCAACAGTCAAATGTGAGGCCTTGTTTGAACTGTATTGTGCAGGATGGCAGCATCTGGGCTATTCGTCGTCACCTAGTGTGCGGGGCCGGGGTACGACGTTCCTGGTGCTAGAATGTGGCATTGAAGCTCGGTAATGTGTTGAGATTAGCTATATAGGTACCGGAGGGTGCGACAGGCTCGGCAGCGTGTGTTCCTGGGTATCGGTGGCACTGTTAAATCTTAATTCTCAAGCGCATTTCAGGCATCTCAATCAATCTGGTGCTGAGAAACACATGATGCTTTTTTCACAAATTTCAAATTATTTCCTGTTGGTGTGCTGAAATACCCGAAATGACTGCATAGTCCCTGTGCAAGCTGTGACGATCGTGCCTCAGACTTTTGTAGCTAGGGTAAATAATCTATTGGGAAATGATAATCGTATATGTACATATGTCTTTTGCGTTTTCCATCACTACAGATGAATATGAACTTGTGGTTCAGAGCTGAGCCGAGGCAAGCCAATATTGGTTTTGCTCGCCCAGGAATGTGTTCTTTCCAATAGCATATGCCAAAATGTCCTCGTCATTTTAAGCGGCAGAGTGCTTATCAGTTATAATGTGAATAAATACGTACAATGCAGATATTTGTTTTTCCAATTTATGTCTGACCATTCACCTGAACATTGAAATCAAACACGGAAATACGGGTAGTGTAAGTGGATAATGTAACTCATCAAACGGACCTTGAATGCCCGGGCATTTTTTTTGGGGGAGTTGGGGCATCCTTTTTAGCCAACCTATGCTAGAAACGATTTTTTCCTAGGACGGAGAGGTGCCACTTTGATGCAACAGAAGGCACTGCAAGTTTGGTGGCGATAGGTTCACAGGTTTGGAAAATATTGCAGAAAACGAGGGGTGACTTGGCGGTGTCCCCCTCCCTACCTCGCCCAGTGATGCGCTACTAATGATGGGTTGACATGACCTTATCGGACCGTGCCCAAAAGCAGCACTCGCGCACGACATAATGAGGGCAAAAAGCGGAGCCCACCTGGCGGTAAAATACGGAGCACGTTTTTCCAATAGGATTTTATTGTCGATCACTGCCACCGTCTATTTATAGTATTATGGGTTTGTGTCACACAAAAGGCCGATAAAATATAGCCATACGAATTTTAACTAGCCGGTAGTACGTGAGCCATCTTCTTGAGAGAGCAAATAATGGGACAGTTTCATCATAGAAGAACGCACATAATTCAGCACTGAACACACAAACCATGATAGCGGACAAAAGAATTTAACAGCGATCTTGATTTGAGCTGATGAGGAGCGACCATGAGGCCATCAATGTCATGATCTTCTCACTTCTGATAATATTTCGCTGAAAAAAGGCGGGAGCCTGGTGGGAGGTGCCACGGCCGACCTAAATCTAACTAACTGCTAATGTGAGAAATAAAGCGAAGGAGTTGCACTACCTCCTGGCAAAAGGCTCGCTTTAAACTTGTCCTATTACTTGAAGCCGCTTACTTCTCAAACCAATCTCTTCGATAGATGTGCTCGCTAGAGGACGAAAGAAAGAGAGCATGAGCGAGCGAGAGAGAGAGAGAGGAAAGAGAGAAAAAAAAGAAAGAAAAGAAAGAAGAAAAAGAAAGAAAGAAAGAAAAAGAAAGAAAAAAGAAAGAAAGAAAGAAAGAAGAAAGAAGAAAGAAAGAGAGAGACAGAGACAGACATACTCGTACATACAGACAGTGCGGTAGGGAGTAAGAGAGAGAAAGAGGGGGAGAGAAGAGACGACAGAGACGAGAGGAGAGGAGAAGAGAAGGGAAGGAAGAGGAACGAAACGAGACGAGCGGAGAGGAGATGAAATGAGAGGAGGAGAGGGAGGAGCCTTGGGGAGCGGAGACCAGGATTTTCCAGATCGCGCTGAGCAACCGGTGCAGTGATCGACCGGGTCGGGCCAGAACACAGAACACCGCTCGTGGCACTGGCGAGTGGCGAACCCACTGCCGATTGCCAGCCATTGTTTGTGTGTGTTCTCCTGAACCTCGCAGCAGGACCGCGATAGATTGCCCCCATAAACGCATCGGTCAGCAGTGCGGCATCGATCGCTGATTGAAATCGCCTGACGAAGCCGGAGGCTCTCTCTCTCTCTCTCTCTCTCTCTCTCTCTCTCTCTCTCTCTCTCTCTCTCTCTCTCTCTCTCTCTCTCCTTCTCTCTCTCTCTCTCTCTCTCTCTCTCCTCTCTCTCTCTCTCTCTCTTCCCCCTTCGCTTAGCCCAGACCTGGTAGCTGCTTGTAAATGAATGAGAGAATGAATCTATTAAACACAGCAATAAACTGTGAGTCCAATTGCATATATGTTATGAAAGCACGCTGTAACCTCACCATGTGGATCGTATGCAGCCATGTGGGAAGTCGGCAGATGCCACATAAAAAGAACGAGGTCATACCATGGCCCCATTAACCCCTCAGCGAGAACTGAAGCATGAAGGAACATACGAGTAAGCAAGCATACCATGCAAAAGGCGAAGGTATTGACTTATAGTTCAGCCTCGTGGCATGGCCGGAGTGTACGCCGCTTACGAAAATAGTTTACGTAACCCACTAGACACGTCATCCCAATGAATGTTTTATATAACGCTGCAATCAAAAGGCTTGTATAACCCGTGAGGGACGCTATCATGCTACTGTGTCATGTTACGGGACTGGTCCTGCTGGAATGGAACCGGTTTCGCAGCGCCCGGCTCAGGCTTTCCGATTTCCTTATTTTCCTGCTTTTTCATGCTGCTATTTGTAAGATTTTCAATGTTCAACCGACGTGAAAATAATATCATTGTACCTTCCTTGTATTTGCCGCTCGCTGTGCCAGCGAGATCTGTGCGTCAACAGACCACATTTCATGTTCCCCAAGCAAGGGTTAATAGTACAAGCGTGGTCTTTTTATCCGCATCCCAGAAGCTTGTAACATCTTCATAAATGTTCACTGCGATGCCGACATATGGCACCAGAGCTCCCGGGAGATCAAGCGTGCTGAGCATCATCTAGAGATGAGCACCTGTCACCCATATTTTAGCGTTTTGGCGCTGTGCGCATCTACTGTTTTATAAATTATAATATGATGACCTCATTCGTCATTGGGTGTGCCACGTATACATGATTTCGTAAATAAGCAAAGTAAATATAGTTTGAATGGTTTGAAACGTTATCTTAAGCCGTGAGCGTGATTATCATCATAATTATGAAAAACTTTTGCTCATAACTAAAGGAAGACAAAACAAATAAGAAATGGACTCGTTTTTTGCTTCTGTTAGTTATGGGCAAAGGGTTACCTATTATTAATTTTTTGTGCAAAAATAAATTACTTTACGTGTAACACAGAAAGGTAAGCCCGCCTATGACGGTTCCCCCCCCCCCTCGTTCAGAGCTCCGGTTGGGGCGATCAGTGTCCAGACCAGGGGAAAACTGTGAATCTGCCAACCTCACGGATGTGAAGGACTTTTCAAGCCTTCAAAACCATTCGTATAGAGTCTGAACTATGAATATTAACCCGCGCCCTGCTGGGGGGGGGGGGTTTGAACACCCCCCCTTGTGGTTTTTCGCGAATATCTCAAAAACGGCGGCGCTCCGCGCCGCCGTTTTTGGTACACCTTATCATACATCAATTCTACACATGTTGTGAAAATTTCAGACCAAGGTCATTCAAGGTCAGGTCACCAGGTCACTTGAAGTGACCTCACCTCATAAAAGTTTCAATGTCTGTCATAGCTACACCGAGTGACCGATCGCTTTGAAACTTTCAGCGATTGCTAAGAGCAATAGCATGTACAAAATTTTTATCTCAGAATTTTGATATCGATGACCTAAGGTCAGGTCAATTTTGCGACCTCCCCATTATAAGTCAATGGGAGAAAATTGAAATGCGCCTCTTTTGGACGAAAGACATCATAAACACTCCCAAACACCGAATTACAAGTGGTTTAGACACACTGAACATGAAAATGGTGTCCGTGACCCCTGTTTATGCCCTGAGGTCATCTTAGGTCACGAATGGTATCTAACAGTTTTTCTCGAATAACTTTTGATAGAGGCATGCTAGAGCGATGAAAACGCCTTAGATGTGTTCAGCTCGACGATACGGATCGACTGATATGCAACATGACCCTTTCCGGTCAGGTCATGACCTTGACCTGAGGTCAAATTTTCAAGTTGACCTTTCAAGGTCAAGTTATAGTTCATTCGATGCGTATTGACGAGAGGAACACGATGCCGGTAAAAGTAAGCTCGTACAAGGCTTGGGTCAAAAGTTATTGCAGAAAAACTGTTTCCGAAAAAATCGGCTATTTTTGCAGTTTTTGCCCCCTGCAGGCAAAACCGTTGACGTTAGGTCAAATCTGAGAGAATTACTCAGAAAGGGCGTTAATAGGGCTATCGAATGCGCTTTTCCGCGGCGCTGTAGCTCTATTGGTTCCCGAGTTATGCGTTGGCTTCTTGGAAATTTTCGACATTCGACCCGGAAATCGGCGAAATTTTGCCTTCAATGACCTCTGGTGACCTGACCTTTGACCTGACCAAAAAATTGACCGAAGTGATTTCGTCATTATTTTTGACGCTCTTTCGAACGCCGCCTTCCGCGTATCGCTACGTGGCCGGCCCAGGAGCCGAGTTAGAAGGGGGGGTGTTCAAACACCCCCCCCCCCAGCAGGGCGTGGAAATCCAGGACCCCCAGCCGGGCGCGGGTTAAAAGTCAGAAACTATGGTAGCTTTTTATCTACGGTTCATCTTTAGAGGCAACGGTAACATGTATGGAGAAATAAATTTTTCGGTTAAAATATATAATGATAAAAAGTTCCTGGAATTTCACGCATTCAAATTCTTGTTGCACCTTTCCCAGAACCTTTTCATTGAAAAAAATGATACCATTTGAAGTAGGGTAGGTCTATCACTACCTAGTACCTACCAAACACCATCGATAGCCTTTCCCTCTAAATTCTTCACTTTAATGCACAAACATGTGGCGAATGTCACGCA